TTTCTTTCTTTATTGTAGTATCGTTTTTAAACTCGACAGAATATTCGGAACACATTAAAGGCACTAACGATGTTAACAAACTATGCGATATACATTCTCGAAGAAAAAGATTTGATAAAATAAATTTATATATAGCTCAATTTGATATAAAATATATATGTATACATTATAAAAAATTTTTTTAATTAGTTCATAAATATTATAATTTTATTAATCTATTTGGCAGAATTTTTTTCATTTAATTAAAATTATTTAACAAATCCAACTACACATCCTCAGGGTCGACTTGTATATATAAAGTTTGCCCTTTTCTTAAAATTTGTAAATTTATCGTTCCTGGTTGTTCTAAGATTTTATAAATATTGCTTGAATCCAGCACCGACTCACCGTTAGCATGTGTCACTATATCTCCAGGCTTCAATCCAGCACTGCAATAGTGCAGAGAGATAATAATTAAATTTTTCATAAATACAATTAGCAAATTTAAATCTTGATGAAGTACACTGAATATTATTTTGTCATTTCTATTTTCTCTCTTATCTATTTTGTCAGTCACTATGTGATATTCATTTTAAAAAAAACCCTTTGACTTCAAACATTTATAACTTATATATTAACCTCCATACAGAACCTGTGTACATTGCATCAAATTTGAAGTATTATATATATCCAATGAAATTATTTAATTCTATCAATATAATCGTAGTTGATAGAAGATTAGATGTACACAGTAATGTAAATGTTGGAAAACTCAAAATTTTGAAAAAATTACTCTTTTAATATGAAATACTTATTAAAGTGACCTTGAATTGAATAAAAAAACAATTTTCTTAATATACTTTCATTAAAATCAGGTTTAAAGGATTAGATTTTAATATTATTTTTAGAAATTAGTTAGCAAATTGATGTAAATTATATAGTTATAATTTAAGTTCACATAATAATTCATAATAATGAAATGTTTCCGTATTATATGACTTACATATAAGCCGGAGATCCAACCATTACTTTCCATACAAGAACTCCATGTCGAACATTCGTGTAATCATAATATTGTTGCATCTCATTTAAGATTTCTGGAGTCAGAGTTTGCATTGTGATGCCCATATACCTTCTCCTGGGTGTATCTTTATGTAACACATCTATAAAAGTAATACATATAATTAGTAGTTTTAGTGTATATATTGATAGAATAAACTAGCAGTTTGATTTACCTTTGTTTTTTTTGCGTAACTCCCCTTTCTTTAGGAATTCTTTTGCATAATCTATGGGTATAGCAAACGAAATGCCGGATGTCACTTTCATCGAATTTATGCCTATCGCCTCTCCATTCAAATTCACTAATGGCCCACCTGAATTTCCAAACTAGACAAAATGCAACTTACTAATCATATGAATATGATGTTGTGCTCAATATTTACTCCAACTAACGGTTACTAACAGTGATTGCAGCATCCGTTTGAATTAACCCCATATTTCGGCTATTTATACCAAGTTCTTGACTTGGTCTATTTACACTGCTCACTATTCCGCTTGTTATAGTGTTGCTAAGATTCAACGGGGCACCAATAGCCACTACAAACTCTCCAGGTCTGAGGTTAGCCGAAGAACCAAGTTTCATTGTCGGCAGATTGGTCTATCCGATTAAATATAAATTAGCAATTACAAATATTTTAGTATCAACATTTACACATAAAAAAAACGAATAACAAGATTACCTTATTTATTCGCACAGTAGCAAGATCACTTTGTAAATCAATGTCTTCTACTGTTCCAGAATATGTACTACCATCATGAAGCCGTACCTATGTGGGAGAATAAGAGCCACAAATATAATTTCAAATAAAAACAATTTATTGCTAACATACAATTAAATTAAATTAAGAATTGATAAATTCAAGACTTTAAAAAAATTATATATAAAATGTCCTGAATACTAATATTGTGGTACTTTCCAGCAATAGACACAAATGGTCATTTCATCTGTATTTAACATTGAGAGACAACAAAAAGATAATGATTCACTACGTTACATCTTTGTTTTTTGCTAGAAAGTCTTACTTATGGGATAAAATGTTTGGAAAAAATGAAAGAACTTGGAGAACTTACTTGTATTTTCATTGCTGTATGAGGCTTATTTGCTACAACATGAGCATTTGTTAATATTAAACCATCCTGACTGATGATAAATCCTGATCCATTACTGGTAAGAATTGGCTTCCCTGAGAAATAGTCAACTCTGTTATACAATTAGAAAGTAAAGAGTTAGTACATATTCCATCATAAATACATTCTGAAAAGATATAAGCTATGTATGGTTTAATCACTTATGTGTTTTGAGCTTATAGTCAACATTCTGCCTTAATATTTATTAGATATAAAACAAGTCTATTTTTATAGCTAAACTATATGTATTTTTAGACTAGTATATATGTAACTTAAAGTAAAATAGATATATATTTGATATTTAGTTAAAGCAAGAAAAGAAGTTCTAATATTGTCTAAAACACAAATAAAAAACAGACTTAAAGATAGAATCCTAATAAATATAATAATTTAAGGAAATGCAAATGTGAGCCAACACTAGTTATTCATA